TTGTATGTAAGACTTCATTTGAATAAAGGTACTCATGCTTTTTACTAAAAAAAAAAAAAAAAATTCTGTAATTGAGAAAATTAGCTTCCTGAGGCCATACTCTGTAATTAGTCAACATGGCAGATAACTGAAAATTGTAATAAGCACAGCCTAAAATATTCACATCAAAAAGGAAAAAGAAACAAACATAAAAATTCAGTCCAAACTTACTTTCATTTTGAGCCAGCACACAGCTACTGTACTTGAGGGCCAAAGCATGAGTATGGTTCAGAGGTGGGGACAGATATAAATGCTGAATGACAATCAGCGATGGTACTTCCTTCCCAGAGCATCTGCAGCTGGAGGAGCCCTGGCCTCATTTACTTCATGCCAGCCCACGATATTATATTCATTCCTCAGCTGCAAACCATGTGCCAAAGGCCTCGGCCACTGTTCTTGCCTCAGCAAGTCCCCCACTGACAACAAAGACAGATCTCCTGCTGCTGGGTGCACCACAGATAAAGTGGCTTTAATAACTAGTGGGGTCATTTGTGATGCACCTGTAATTGGATCAATTTCCTCTTAATTACACAATCTTTGAAAATCAGATGCAATTTCATAATCAGAGCATGGGGCTTTCTCCAGATGAGAAGTAAAAAGACAAACTAGCTCAACATCACTTTAATTACCTCCTTTCCTATCCTTTGGCAGCTATCACAACAGAAGCAAAAAACAAAAAAACCCAAAAAGCAAAAACCCATTTTGAGTAGCTCAGCCTAGCAAATTTTGTTTCAGTGAAAGCAAGGCCACAGATCTTTGGATTGCCATAACCCCTGCACCGCAAAAGCAAGGTATCCTACTCAGTCCAAAGCCTGAGGAAACATATCACAAATTCCTTCACCTACAAGCCTGTCTTAAAAGCACAGGCTCTCTTCTTTTTATTAACTGTAATTCTAAGGATAGAACAGGGGGCAAGGGCTCAATTTAAGACAGGGTGTTGGGGACTTTACATCTTGGAGACTGATTCTGAATACATGAATGTGGGAATGAGCTTTGGATTATCTTTACACAATGGTGCTTTTGGCTGGATTTTGACTGAGGTAGATCCCTATGATGGTTATGCCCTCAAAGGATGCAGTGTTAAAATACAGAAGCAAAATGGCATGATACAAATCATCTCCCTCCTCACCCCTCAAATCCCATATTTAATTAAAAAGCATGAACACCAGTTGAGAAGAAACAAGTATCAATTATTTAATGCATCAACAGGAATGGAAATAAATCCCAAAACCAGTATTATGTACTTACTTGGAGAAAATACAGAGTAAAGACCAAACAGTTTTGTTTTAGTATTGAGAATGAGATGTGTCCACCTCCCCCACTTTGCTGGCCCTGATCTGTGTTGTACAGTTCCTCAGACAACTCTTAGCATAGGTCAGTGGAGACAGAGTATGAAAAATGATGACTATCCAAGAGTATCTGTTGACTATATTAGCTCCATATTTGCTTATTCTTATCTTTCTATGCTTTAGCATAATTAGAATCTATATGCTCCTTTAAAAGGCAAGCAATTTCCAGGCCAAAGTCTTCAACACCAACCAACTAGGGTCAATGCATTCTCTGTCACATCTACAATTAAATATGAATCCAAGATGGCACAAATCCCCCACCCAAGAGGCACTGCTTCTCAAAAGACTGTATATCTCCCTTGGTGGCACTAAATGAATGAGCTTTCACAATGGTTAAGGTGATCAGACCTGAGACATCAAGCCACAGGGGAATGATGTCTGAAATGTCACTGAAAGGTGGAGTGGATCCCACTTGAGCATGCACACAGAATACAGCCACAGTTGAAATGTCAAAGGTGAAGCACATTATAATAGGAAGAAAATGGGCCAGAGACCTCAAAGCAAAAAGAGAGGAAAACCAACAAGGATTCAATACAGGCGAAAATTTCTATCTACAAAAAAAGCTAAAGTGGTTCTCTCTACTGAAGCCTTGGAGGTGCCTAATGTCTAATTAAATTTCGGCTAACCCCATCATGTGTCCTAGTGAGGAAATGCATCTGTTACAGCTCTAAATTTAGGGGAAAAAATAATACAAATAAAAAACACTAAAAGACGGAGCTTCTAAAATTCTAGGACTAGCCAGCTGGAATTAGGACATAGGCTGAGTCTACTCTACAATACCATCAACAATCAAGGATAAGGGAAGGGAAGTTGTCTGAGAAGAAGAAATGGCTATTTCTCTTCTAAGGGGTGGAATATCTCCTTAGGTGGTAGCTGTAGATCTTGATGCAATGATCCCAGCAGTCCAAGACCAGCAGCTGCCCCTTAGGAGTAAGGGCAATGCCCACTGGACAGGTGAGCCCCTCTCGAATAAGGACACTATAGCCTCCACCCTTAGGAAAGTGGAGAATTTCCTTGCGACTACTATCAGCCACAATGAGGTCACCACGGGCATCCACACACATGCCAGCAATGCAGCGGAAATCCTCGTTCTCTGAGAAGAAGTGGCTAATCTGGCGACCCAGCTGCCCATCAGGGCCCACAGAGCCAATGGAAAAGCCACCCTCCAGGTGGTGCTCATTCTGCCGGTTTTCCAGGTTGAGGCCCAAGCCCTGGGTGAAGTAGACAGTGCCCTCAGCATCACAGGTGACAAACTTGGGCCGCACAGCACTGCAAAGGCAGCTGTATTTGACTACCCCTGCTCCTCGGTCAACAGTGAAACACCAGAGCTTTCCACCTTCCACATCAGTTACCACAAACTGGCCAGATGGCAGGGCTGTGATGCCCCATGGTTTGCTCAGCTGGCTCCGGTGACAGGCCACGCAGTGGCCATCCAAGGTGTACACCTTGAGGGAGTTGTCATAGCTGTCAGTCACACCAATTAGCCCATGGCAGTTCATGGCCACTGAGAGAGGAGTGAGATTAGGCAAATCAGCCCCAAGGAAACTTAGCACAAAGCTATCAATGCCACTGGGGTTGCGGCGGATCTCCTTCAAGAAGCCCTTGCGGGTAAAGACCTGTATACGGTAGTTACCACGGTCAGCAACCAGCACCTCTCCTTGACTGGTCACGTAGAGACTGACTGGAAGGTTGAACATGCCTGGAGTGCTGCCTTTGGCCCCCATCTTCTTGAGAAAGAGACACTGCTGAATATTGGTGGCTGTCTCAGGACCTCGCTGCTTAGCAGGTGAGGACCTAGGGCTGGCAACCACTTCCTCAGGGCTCATGTCTATCTCTCTAAATGTAACAGAGGTGGAGGCAGCAGAGGCTGCAGCCTCCATGGCCCAGGAATCTTCCATATTGACTGTCCGGGGCTTCTTAACAGCCTGCCCGATTTGGAGGGGGCCAACATGGCCTACCTTAAGGAGCTCCACATCCTGCAGGGTAAGCTCCCGGGGCAGGCTGGCAGTGAGCTCTGGCTCCTCCTCTTCTGCTGTCTCCTCCAGTAGTGCTACATCAGCCTGCTTGATCTTAGCCAGGAAGTAGTCACAGCGAGACACAGCCTGCACTTCGGCAATGTTAAGCAGGTAACTCTGCTCCTCTAGCACTTGACTATTGGACTTCTCTACCTCAGTCAAAGAGCCTGTGAAGAATTTCCGAGAGCGAGCCAACTCCTCTTGAACTCTGCGCTCCTCGTGCCCATACTCCTGGAGAACTGCTTTGTACCTTGCCTGAAGGTCCTTGGAGACACCTTCCAAGGCGACTTTACGCTGCTGTAGCTCCCCCATAAGCTCCCGCAGATGGGCCAACTTCTCTCCAAAGTCCCGACGCCGCTCCTCAGCTGCCTCTTTCACGGGGAGCGTACAGTGGCCAGGAGGCTGGTGGTCAGCCTCCCGGCAAGGCTCGCATAAAACCAGGCCACAGGTTCGGCAGAACTGCCGAGGCAGCCGCCGCCCACAGGACCGGCACATGAGCAGCCCCACAGCTTCACTGAGCCCAGCTGTGTCAATGATCTTCAGCACTGTCAGGTTGTCTGTCAGTTGGGTCAGGCTGGTTATGCGGGTGATCTTGCTGCAAAAGGGACAGCGGACACCATTGATGCTACTGGCCAGTAGTTTCTCTAGGCACTGGCGGCAGATGGTATGGCCACAGTGCAGGAGCTTGGGCCGAAGCTGCTCCTCTGTGAAGGACTCCATGCAGATGGGGCATTCCAGCACTTCCCGGAGGGCATCCAGGTTTAGGTGAGAAGCTGCTGCCGCAGCCATGACTCTTCCTTGAAAAGGTTCTGCTAACACAGCTGGAATTGAATAGCTTACCACCTGTATTCATGCCCCAGACGGTCAAATTCCTGCTAAAGAAAAAAAGAAACCATTATTCACTTCCCACTACCTATATGAATTAATTCACTCAAGAAATATTTACAGAATGGCTACAATCACTCATTCAATCATTCCACTATTTAACAAGTATTTACTGAGGCCTACTATGTGTTAAAGGAGCCCAAGTGGTGCAAATGTTTAAAGGGCTTGATTGCTAACCAAAAGGTTGGCTGTTGGAACCCACCCAGCAGCTCCGCGAGAGAAAGACCTGGCAATCTGCTTCCGTAAAGATTACAGCCAAGAAAACCCTATAAGGCAGTTCTACAGTGTCACGTGGGGTCACTATGGGTCAAAAATGACTTGACAGCACCTAACAGTATGTGTTAGGTGATGGTGATACACAGGGCAATAAAGCAGACAAGGCACTGCATAGTGGATAAGAATTCAGCTTCTAGAGTCAGGCTTCAGAAACTCATCTCTGATACTTTCTTAGTTTCGTGACCTTAGGGAAGTATAACCTAAATGTCCCAAAGCTCAGTTTCCCCATCACCCATCTGTAAAGCAGATAATAACAGTGTCTATTTTATATGGTTGCTGTAAGGGCTAAAAAAACATGATGAAAACGGCACACTTAGTATAGCACCTGGCAAGTAGTATGCCTGTAATAAATGTTACTAATCATTTTTAAATTCTTTTAAATTCTGTGAAAGCTTATAGTTTTTATTAGGAGAAAAACATAGAAAAATCACCTACAGTAAAAGGAGTAAGTATAATAGAGGGAGCACAATGGATGGAGTAACTGATTTCTGCCTAGAGGAACCAGGGAAGGTACTGCAGAAGTGGTGACACACCTGAGATATATCTTGAAAAAAATGACAATGAGGGATAAAGGCATTTTAGGCAAAGAAAACTGCATGAGCAAAAGCATGGTGGTCTAAGAGTTTATCCTGGTATGTATGCGAGCCTAGGAAGTATCCAGAGAAATAGAAAGTTATGATGATTAGCTTTAGGTGATGAGCAAAGCATTAGACCAGAAAATGTGTGTTTTCCATTCATCTGTTCTACCTACTCACCTAATCTATCCAACCAAGTCTACTGGGTACTAAGGTTTTCAGGACACAGATCCGTCTACAGCTGCACCTGTGCAGTCTCATGATCTGCAGATAGTCAACTATCAAGGTGAAGGAGAAGGTGGAGGCCGAGTTAGCTTAGTTAGATAGCAAGCTGAGGAAACCTATGTAAATGTGATCAACTCTTTCTCCAGGCATAGAGAAAAGGGGGACTCAAAGCATGCTTAGCTTTGGAATTCAATCTGACAAATATTCAATAGCAGACATGCACAATTAATCTAAGCTCAATCCCACCTTCTGCTGGAAAGGAAACTGCTTTGGTCAAGTAGGTTTGATAAAATTGCAAACTATATTTTCCTTCTTATATATTAGCAATATTAAAAGTTTTCAGAAATCCTGCAGTACAGGTATTTTTTAACTTTGTTCAACCCAACATTACCTAAAGCTTTTTTTTTTTTTTTTAAACTGTCATATAACGCTTATTAAGTAGTGTTCCCTAGACCATGCTCTGGGAAATGCTCTTATATAATTTTCTCCACAAGGAAGAGGGAACAATAATATAGTTATGAGATTCATCTGCTATGGAATGGGTAAGACTGATTTATTAGCTGAGTGACCCATTCCCACATACCTGCCCTGCAACCCACTGTGACTCAAACTCATGTCTCAGTGAAATAACAAATTACCACATATTATGAAACTATGGGGTCTCATGTGAATATCTGAAACTGAATGCTGAATTCTTAAACACCATGTGTCTGCGGCAACAGTATAGAAACGCTGATAGAAACCTCAACTCAAAATCCATGCAAATAGTCTCAATTCTAAACCAATAGTTTCAGCCCTCTCTTCTATCATTTGGGACACCAGACTAGAGCACCATTTGGTGTCTGGATCCTGAGCATGTTACCTTACAATGCACAGGGACATCTGTTCTTCTCAAAGCTGGCACTGCAGATCAGCTAACTAAACAAGTCTGCCAACTTGTAAGAATACCAGCAAATTCTTTCCCCAGCTTTCTGGATGATCATCGCACCTCCTTCAATTAAAAAGCTTCTCACCTCCTTGTCTAAGCCATCCGCTTTTAAAAGATGGATTCACTGTGCCCACATCCATACCCCAAATTATCTCAGCTGTCTGCAGCTTCACCAGGCTCTCAGAGGCCAGAAGAAAATGCCAAGGATTCCTGCTCTGAAGCTGCCATGCTTTGCCAGGGAAACATGAGTTCTCATCACTAAAGCATCAGGCATGGAGACAGACTCAGACCTGAAAAAAGCCAGAATCATTTCTCCCATTTCCAAGATCTTTCAACAGTGCTTTCTGAAGGATCCCAGCCTGAATCTGAGCTGTGTGACAGATACAGCCTCTCTCCTCTGAAGGGCACATCTAGTCATTATTAATACCAGTGAATGACCTGTATGGAAGGTCAATTTGACCTCAATTTCCCTAAAAAGACTAGACAGGTGAAAAGAACTGTCTTAACATCCAAATTCTTTAAACTAGCTGCCCATTTTTTGCCAGCTATAAAATCTGCAACTGGCCAGAATGAACTCCCAACATGCTATTAATGATCTTAGCTGTCATCACGATGCCTTGCACTTCTGTTTCCTGTTGCACACTTCCTACACTCAACTCCTGCCATCCCACCTCATTTCCTGCCTTCAGTTTACCTCCACCCTCACCCCTTTGATCTCATGATAAATACTGCACATCCCATAGTGGTATCAGTCCATCTCTTCAGTTCCATATGAAACTCTATCCCTTAAGCTGTGTCTGTTCTGACTGCCCTAAGCCTCAGGAAAGCTCTATAATTATCCCAGCCTGATCTAGCCAGCATCTGGCACCACTGGTTTTCCTCCAGTCTGTGAAATTAGTAATATGGGTAATAGAGAAAAAATAAATAAATAAAACAAAACTATGGATCTTGGAATCAGACAGAACTGGGTTCAAATCTTAACACTGTCATTTTCAAGTTGTGGGAGAGCAAGCAAGTTATTTAACCTCTCTAAGCCTGTTTTTTTAATTTATAAAAAGGTTGCAGTGACAACTAGGGATAAATGCCTGAAAATCAATGAAAGGTTGCTGTTTTATTATAATTTTAATAACAATGAAAAAAGATATTAACAATAAAATGACTAACACTAATAAAGCATTCAGTTTACAAAATGAATTTTGAAAGAATGAAGAGCCTTTCCTTTCGTGGCATGCAAAGGCAAATAAAGATTAATGAAAGAACTGGTCAGCTTTGGAGGGTTTTGATTGAGGATGCTAGATATCTATGCTAGAAACTGATGGGCAAATTAATCCGGAACATCTCTTACTCAAAAAACAAGCTGCTGCAGCTCCTTCTACCCACTAAACCCACTGCCTTTGAGTCGATTCTGACTCATAGCAACCTTATTGGACAGAGCAGAACTGCACCATAGGGCTTCCAAGGCTGTAAAATCTTTATGGAAGCAAACTGCCACATCTTGCTCCCACGGAGAGGCTGGAGGGTTCGAACTGCCAATCTTTCGGTTAGCAACTGAGTGCTCTAACCACTGCACCACCAGGGATCCTTAGCTTCTTCTAAAACCAAAAAAAAAAAAAAACCCACTGCTGTCGAGTCTATTCCGACTCATAGTGACCCTATAGGACACAGCAGAACTGCCCCACAGGGTTTCCAGGGAGCAGCTGGGGGATTCAAACTGCCAACCTTTTGGTTAGCAGCCTGAGCTCTTAACTACTGCACCACTAAGACTGTGAAATATTTGAGGACAAATAACTGTGTCTTTTATCTCTGTATCTAATGGCAGCAAAATACCCAGAACAATCGGGTACTTA